TAAAATGCATGTATGCTTGTATGTCTGTGATGTACAAGTGCTCCCTCTTGTGGGTGTGAGTTCACGCACGCTCACGCAAATAAACATGCCCCTCTGACACACTCGCCCCCCCCCCTCTCCCCTCCACACCAGACACGGGCATAGACACAGATACCCTTCCCCCTTTCCACTTTCCCCTTCCCCTTTCCTCTCCCCTTCCCCTCCCCTTTTCTCCCCCCTTTCCCATATCCTATCCCCTTCTCCTCTCCTTTTCCTCCCCCCTTTCCTTTCCCCTTTCCCCCTTTCCTTTTCCTTTCCCCCTTTCCTTTTCCCTTCCCCCTTCCCCCCTTTCCTTTCCCCTCCCCCTTCCCCCTCCCCCCTTTCCTTTCCTTTCCCTTCCCCCCTTCTCCCTTTCCTTTCCCCTCCCCCCTTTCCTTTCCCCTCCCCCTTTTCCTTTCCTTTCCCCTCCCCCCTTCTCCCTTTCCTTTCCTTTCCCCTCCCCTCCCCCCTTTCCTTTCCTTTCCCCTCCCCTCCCCCCTTTCCTTTCTCTTTCCCCTCCCCTTCCCTCCTTTCCTTTCCCCTCCCCCCTCCCTCCTTTCCTTTCCCCTCCCCCCTCCCTCCTTTCCTTTCCCCTCCCCCTTCCCCTTTTCCTTTCCTTTCCCCTCCCCCCTTCCCCTTTTCCTTTCCTTTCCCCTCCCCCCTTCCCCTTTTCCTTTCCTTTCCCTCCCCCCTTCCCCTTTTCCTTTCCTTTCCCCTCCCCCCTTCCCCTTTCCTTTCCTTTCCCCTCCCCCCTTCCCCTTTTCCTTTCCTTTCCCCTCCCCCCTTCCCCTTTTCCTTTCCTTTCCCCTCCCCCCTTCCCCTTTTCCTTTCCTTTCCCCTCCCCCCTTCCCCTTTTCCTTTCCTTTCCCCTCCCCCCTTCCCCTTTTCCTTTCCTTTCCCCTCCCCCCTTCCCCTTTTCCTTTCCTTTCCCCTCCCCCCTTCCCCTTTTCCTTTCCTTTCCCCTCCCCCCTTCCCCTTTTCCTTTCCTTTCCCCTCCCCCCCTTCCCCTTTTCCTTTCCTTCCCCTCCCCCCTTCCCTTTTCCTTTCCTTTCCCCTCCCCCCTTCCCCTTTTCCTTTCCTTTCCCCTCCCCCCTTCCCCTTTTCCTTTCCTTTCCCTCCCCCCTTCCCTTTTCCTTTCCTTTCCCCTCCCCCCTTCCCCTTTTCCTTTCCTTTCCCTCCCCTCCCCCCTTCCCCTTTTCCTTTCCTTTCCCCTCCCCTCCCCCCTTCCCCTTTTCCTTTCCTTTCCCCTCCCCTCCCCCCTTCCCCTTTTCCTTTCCTTTCCCCTCCCCTCCCCCCTTCCCCTTTTCCTTTCCTTTCCCCTCCCCTCCCCCCTTCCCCTTTTCCTTTCTCTTTCCCCTCCCCTCCCCCTTTCCCTTTCCTTTCTCTTTCCCCTCCCCTCCCCCCTTTTCCTTTCCTTTCCCTCCCTCCCCCCTTTTCCTTCCTTCCCTCCCTCCCCCTTCCTTCCTTTCCCCTCCCCTCCCCCCTTCCCCTTTTCCTTTCCTTTCCCCTCCCCTCCCCCCTTCCCCTTTTCCTTTCCTTTCCCCTCCCCTCCCCCCTTCCCCTTTTCCTTTCTCTTTCCCCTCCCCTCCCCCCTTTCCCTTTTCCTTTCTCTTTCCCCTCCCCTCCCCCCTTTTCCTTTCCTTTCCCCTCCCCTCCCCCCTTTTCCTTTCCTTTCCCCTCCCCTCCCCTCCCCCCTTCCCCTTTTCCTTTCCCCTCCCCCCCTTTCCCCTTTCCTTTCCCCTTTTCCTTTCCCCTCCCCCCCTTTCCCCTTTCCTTTCCCCTCCCCCCCTTTCCCCTTTCCTTTCCCCTCCCCCCCTTCCCCTTTTCCTTTCCCCTCCCCCCCCTTTCCCCTTTCCTTTCCCCTTTCCTTTCCCCTCCCCCCCTTTCCCCTTTCCTTTCCCCTCCCCCCCTTTCCCCTTTCCTTTCCCCTCCCCCCCTTTCCCCTTTCCTTTCCCCTCCCCCCCTTTCCCCTCACAGACCCACAAAAGCAGGCAGAGGTACACGGATACCCACTCCTCTCAATAGACAGAAGCAAAGACACGCAGATAACAGATACACCCTCCTACACAGACACGGATGCAGACACAAATAGACTGATGCCTCCTCCCCACAACAGACACAGGCACAGATACTCCCCCCCCCCCCACACACACACCCTCCCCCCTCCCACACGACAGTCCTGCAGATACCCCCTCCCCCTCCCCCTCCCACCACACGACAGAGTCCTGCAGATACCCCCTCCCCCTCCCCCCCACACGACAGAGTCCTGCATATACCCCCCCCCTACGACAGAGTCCTGCAGATACCCCCTCCTCTACCCTCCCCCCTCCCCCCCACAACAGAGTCCTGCAGATACCCCCTCCTCTACCCTCCCCCTCCCCACAACACAGTCCTGCAGATACCCCCTCCCCCTCCCCCCACACGACAGAGTCCTGCAGATACCCCTCCCCCTCCCCCTCACACGACAGAGTCCTGCAGATACCCCTCCCCCTCCCCCTCACACGACAGAGTCCTGCAGATACCCCCTCCCCCTCCCCCTCACACGACAGAGTCCTGCAGATACCCCCTCCCCCTCTTCCTCACACGACAGAGTCCTGCAGATACCCCCTCCCCCTCCCCCCCACACGACAGAGTCCTGCAGATACCCCCTCCCCCTCCCCCCCACACGACAGAGTCCTGCAGATACCCCCTCCCCCTCCCCCCCACACGACAGAGTCCTGCAGATACCCCCTCCCCCTCCCCCCCACACGACAGAGTCCTGCAGATACCCCCTCCCCCTCCCCCCCACACGACAGAGTCCTGCAGATACCCCCTCCCCCTCCCCCCCACACGACAGAGTCCTGCAGATACCCCCTCCCCCTCCCCCCCACACGACAGAGTCCTGCAGATACCCCCTCCCCCTCCCCCCCACACGACAGAGTCCTGCAGATACCCCCTCCCCCTCCCCCCCACACGACAGAGTCCTGCAGATACCCCCTCCCCCTCCCCCCCACACGACAGAGTCCTGCAGATACCCCCTCCCCCTCCCCCCCACACGACAGAGTCCTGCAGATACCCCCTCCCCCTCCCCCCCACACGACAGAGTCCTGCAGATACCCCCTCCCCCTCCCCCCCACACGACAGAGTCCTGCAGATACCCCCTCCCCCTCCCCCCCACACGACAGAGTCCTGCAGATACCCCCTCCCCCTCCCCCCCACACGACAGAGTCCTGCAGATACCCCTCCCCCTCCCCCCCACACGACAGAGTCCTGCAGATACCCCCTCCCCCTCCCCCCCACACGACAGAGTCCTGCAGATACCCCCTCCCCCTCCCCCCCACACGACAGAGTCCTGCAGATACCCCCTCCCCCTCCCCCCCACACGACAGAGTCCTGCAGATACCCCCTCCCCCTCCCCCCCACACGACAGAGTCCTGCAGATACCCCCTCCCCCTCCCCCCCACACGACAGAGTCCTGCAGATACCCCCTCCCCCTCCCCCCCACACGACAGAGTCCTGCAGATACCCCCTCCCCCTCCCCCCCACACGACAGAGTCCTGCAGATACCCCCTCCCCCTCCCCCCCACACGACAGAGTCCTGCAGATACCCCCTCCCCCTCCCCCCCACACGACAGAGTCCTGCAGATACCCCCTCCCCCTCCCCCCCACACGACAGAGTCCTGCAGATACCCCCTCCCCCTCCCCCCCACACGACAGAGTCCTGCAGATACCCCCTCCCCCTCCCCCCCACACGACAGAGTCCTGCAGATACCCCCTCCCCCTCCCCCCCACACGACAGAGTCCTGCAGATACCCCCTCCCCCTCCCCCCCACACGACAGAGTCCTGCAGATACCCCCTCCCCTCCCCCCCACACGACAGAGTCCTGCAGATACCCCCTCCCCCTCCCCCCCACACGACAGAGTCCTGCAGATACCCCCTCCCCCTCCCCCCCACACGACAGAGTCCTGCAGATACCCCCTCCCCCTCCCCCCCACACGACAGAGTCCTGCAGATACCCCCTCCCCCTCCCCCCCACACGACAGAGTCCTGCAGATATCCCCTCCCCCTCCCCCCTCGCCCCCCCCCACACGACAGAGTCCTGCAGATACCCCCTCCCCCTCCCTCCCCCTTCCACCCCCACACGACAGTCCTGCAGATACCCCCTCCCCCTCCCCCCCTCCCCCACACGACAGAGTCCTGCAGATACCCCCTCCCCCCTCCCCCACACGACAGAGTCCTGCAGATACCCCCTCCCCCTCCCCCCTCCCCTCCCCCTACACACAACAGAGTCCTGCAGATACCTCCTCCCCCTCCCCCCTCCCCTCCCCCTACACACAACCGAGTCCTGCAGATACCCCCTCCCCCTCCCCCCCACACAACCGAGTCCTGCAGATACCCCCTCCCCCTCCCCCCCACACAACCGAGTCCTGCAGATACCCCCTCCCCCTCCCCCCCACACAACCGAGTCCTGCAGATACCCCCTCCCCCTCCCCCCACACAACAAAGTCCTGCAGACTCCCCTTCCCCCTTCCCCCCCACACAACCGAGTCCTGCAGATACCCCCTCCCCCTCCCCCCCCACACACACAACAGTCGTGCAGATACCCCCCTCACCCCCTCCTCCTCCTCACACGTGTCCTACAGTTACCCCCTCTCCCCCCCATCAGGCATTTCATCTTTTATTCATTTTTATTACTACACCTTTTTCTACACCCAGATATACAGATATACTCATACCCTCTCGCATACCCTCTCGCATACCCAGGCCCCAAAAGTACACACACTTTTGCATGTGTATTGGATCCATGTATACATATCTAATTAAAAAATTCACCCAGCATGATTGGCAGATACCCAGATGCTTCATAAGAAGAAAAATGTTTCTCGGTATAGACGGAGCATTCCAGAGTAAAGGGGATGAGTTAGATAAGGTCTTTAATCAGTGATAAGACCTGCTGATAAGATTATGGCCCTGTTCCCCCCTCTTGTGTTCAGTCGTACCCTGGTTCAGTGCGCGTGCGGTGTGCGGAGAAGAGTGCAGAGGGAGAAAGCGTGTGAAAAATCGTGTTTTCGTGGTTTTGTTTACACGTGTTCTATGGGGATATAGTATTTCACGGTTTTTTGTTTTTACAAGATCTTTTATGTAATAATGTGATGGATGTTGGACTAGTTTCATCACGAAGAATAAAGTGAACAGCGATAAATACATCTGTTTCAAAACGGCACACGTTTCGCTTGGTATTAGTTATACGTTGAATTAAAGCGAAATGTCTTTTCAAAGGAAAAGAAACTGACCTTGAAAGTACCGTATAATGGAACAGTGTCCCGAGAAGATGCCCGAAAATGGCCCAAATCTTACGGTGACCTTGAGCTTCGAAAAACTTTTTTGAGGAGAAGAAAAATGGTGGCAGTAACTACGAACGAGCGGGACTTCCCTCCATCGTCGAATGTGGACTGACAGGATCTCTCTTGTGTGTGGAAATTCAGTCTGAAAAAGTGACATGCGAGATGGACATTCTGGCGGGCGATGTGGAAATTGTTCTTCCTCCTGACGAAGAAGGTTGGTACCATTCTTATTACGTACAGGCAAGGCTCGAAATATGAATGAGAATGGATATCGCTAGAGCACAGGAAACGTATTTGACCAGTTTCGACAATACCCAAATTGCACGTGCCTGATGGAGATGTGTGTGTATATTTTAGTCGAAACTGGCCAGGTGCATCTCTCGTGTCGTGAAGATATTCATTCTCAATCGTTGCATTTTCTACTTTCGTCGCAGTGAGCACGTTTCGTGCATGGTTCTTTGAGAGTATATACTTAGGGAACACTCATACTTGTATAGGGACGATTATGACGTGCTCGTAGAGGCAGGATTTTGCCATTATTGGGTTGTAATGACCTGCAATTATTGGGTTTGTTTGCAATGACCCGTTGAGATGTATGGATAGTTCTGCTATTATGTAGAAGTCTTTTAGTATATGAATGGTTCTGCTATTTTAGGGATTACCTTATCCTGAGAGTACATTAATAACTCTTTATCTGTTGTAGGGATGGCCCTGACATGTTCATGTAAAAATTGGCTTGTTTTATGTAAGCCCACAGAACTAATTATAACAGCCAGCATGCAGTAAGTGAAGGCCAAACATGAATTTCATAAGTGAACTTTACATTTTTTTTTTTATTGATAAGATCATACTATCAGCTGATGCTGATGCGCTGAGGCAGTAAAATTTATATTACTTTTACATTATCTGCGCCTAAGTTTGTGTGCATGTATGTATACAGTGTACATGTATATAAACTGTGTATGTACGTGCAGAATGTGTGTACGTTCGTGTGTGAATGCGTGTCTGTGTACGCACGCACGGGTGGGAATGCGTGTCTGTGTACGCACGCACGGGTGGGAATGCGTGTCTGTGTACGCACGCACGGGTGGGAATGCGTGTCTGTGTACGCACGCACGGGTGTGAATGCGTGTCTGTTTGTGTACGCACGCACGGGTGTGAATGCGTGTCTGTTTGTGTACGCACGCACGGGTGTGAATGCGTGTCTGTTTGTGTACGCACGCACGGGTGGGAATGCGTGTCTGTTTGTTTGTGTACGCACGCACGGGTGGGAATGCGTGTCTGTCTGTTTGTGTACGCACGCACGGGTGGGAATGCGTGTCTGTTTGTTTGTGTACGCACGCACGGGTGGGAATGCGTGTCTGTTTGTTTGTGTACGCACGCACGGGTGTGAATGCGTGTCTGTTTGTTTGTGTACGCACGCACGGGTGGGAATGCGTGTCTGTTTGTTTGTGTACGCACGCACGGGTGGGAATGCGTGTCTGTGTGTTTGTGTACGCACGCACGGGTGGGAATGCGTGTCTGTTTGTTTGTGTACGCACGCACGGGTGGGAATGCGTGTCTGTTTGTTTGTGTACGCACGCACGGGTGGGAATGCGTGTCTGTTTGTTTGTGTACGCACGCACGGGTGGGAATGCGTGTCTGTTTGTTTGTGTACGCACGCACGGGTGGGAATGCGTGTCTGTTTGTTTGTGTACGCACGCACGGGTGGGAATGCGTGTCTGTGTACGCACGCACGGGTGGGAATGCGTGTCTGTTTGTTTGTGTACGCACGCACGGGTGGGAATGCGTGTCTGTTTGTTTGTGTACGCACGCACGGGTGGGAATGCGTGTCTGTTTGTTTGTGTACGCACGCACGGGTGGGAATGCGTGTCTGTTTGTTTGTGTACGCACGCACGGGTGGGAATGCGTGTCTGTTTGTTTGTGTACGCACGCACGGGTGGGAATGCGTGTCTGTTTGTTTGTGTACGCACGCACGGGTGGGAATGCGTGTCTGTTTGTTTGTGTAAGCACGCACGGGTGGGAATGCGTGTCTGTTTGTTTGTGTACGCACGCACGGGTGGGAATGCGTGTCTGTTTGTTTGTGTAAGCACGCACGGGTGGGAATGCGTGTCTGTTTGTTTGTGTAAGCACGCACGGGTGGGAATGCGTCAGTCGTTTGAGGAATCCTTTATTTTTTTTCTTAATTCACGAACTTAAATCCTGCGGCTAATCACTCTACCGCGTTTGATGCGATAATAGAAAAAAAATCTAGACAGAAATGTTTATTGAGAGATGAGCTCTTTTTAGTCAACCTGTTTTGCGTCTAGCGGTTTTAATCTCTTTCTTAAATGTTTCAGGGTAAGTGAGGGCAACTAGACCACTGTGTTAGGAAAGACCTCTTCAGTTGCATGCTTGGCAGCTGGTTCGCCAAAGAGGGAAGGTCTTTGGGCTGAGCATAGGGGGTGGTCTTGATGAGGTGATAAGAGGGTTTGTTAAAGAGGACTTGAGTGGGTTGTTTGTATAGTAAGAGATCGTTAGTATAAAGAATAATTAAATTTTGACTCCCCAGAAAGTTGTGCAGCTGGCCCTCACCCGTTAAGTCACAACTGCGAATTAACAAAAACACGGTACAGTGTTTATACGATTCTAATTGTTTGGTTCGGTTTAATCCGAAGGCGGTTTGAAATCATGAATTAAAAAAGCAAGCATAGACTACGGATGAAAATTTTGCCACCTGTCACCCTGCACCGAGATAGCTGGATGGGGGGGGGGGGGGGATAAAACCTCGACAGTGGTCGTAACACACTTTTTGCATGTTATCTAAAGGTGGCAGTTTAGTGTGAGGTTTCATGGTTGTTTCCCGCCGTGTACACGAGGATTTCTTGGCGGCATACCAGAATATTGGATGTGATAATTTCCGTAACCTATGTAGAAGCTACCATTTACCACATTTGTTTTAGGTCAGCTAACTTGTTTAGATTGGCACGAAAATTATTTTTTTTTTTTTATTATTATTTATATAAAGAAATGGAGAAAGATTGTGTTTGAACAAAATTACACACAACGCGTGCACGCAGATAAAATTTAGCCATAAGAACAAGGTGACATTTCGATCATATGCAGAAACCCTCTCAGTGCGAAGTACAGATCGAAAAAAACGGTTGGTTGGTATTACGAGTCGTCCAAAAAGTTACTGGTGGATTTGAAACGTCTGGTTTATTGTTACTGTAGCTGCATTTAAGTTAACTTCTTCCAGACGGGCATGGCGTCTACGCATATGCCATGCCCACTGCGAGTTTACTTGTTTAATTGTTTTTAGATGGCTAAACTTGTACTAAGTCACCAGTGAGCCAATTATGATTACTGCCTGTCTCGCCCGTTTACCCTTTTCTTTAATTTACGAAAATATTTAGCGTTATCTTATTTTGCTACTTCAAATGTTTATAACCTTATATTAATTATAATGTTTACAATAAAAGTAACACCATCGATATTCATAGCACTAGTAAAAAGTAAATTTTCCCGCCAATTCAGGGACATGTGAAATCAGTTAAGGCAGAGCCATCTATGTGTAGACATTTAAAAATAATAATAATAATAATAATAATAATAATAAAAAATTAGCACAGCATTTTTCCCATTTTTTTTTTACTAATTTTCCCCGTCGGCAATGGGTAAAAAACAAGGTAAAGGGACATTACATGGCGGTACAAAAGTGATATTACAAGGGTTGAAACTGGGCCATAAGTGGTTGGTAGAAGTGTAATGTATTCAAAATATAAAATTCTATCTTATCTGTTACACAGTAAAACTATAAAAGGATAAGATTAGGAAATAATCATGTTTCGGTTAATTGACTTCTGTTAATCTATAACTTAAGTTAAAAAAAAAAGAATTATATTTATTTACGATTCAAGGTAGTCTACGTATTGCGCAACAAATAAGCTAAAACCAAATGCCCTAGTTAGTTTAATAGAATTTGTTCCCTTCACAGGCACATGATGGTAAACGCAGGTCATGTCAGGTCAGGGTTGACACGGTCTGTAGGAAAGGTCAGCAGTTGAGCTTGTGACGGCATACTTCGTTGTATATGTGATGTGATATATACTTTTTATTCGATTAAGTTGTCTTTCCCTTTCCCGAACGTGGCAAGAGTGCATCAAACAATAACGAAGGAATTCGGGTTTCAGGATACAATAGCACGGAGGTAATGTTGTCACACCGCGCTGAGACATAGCTTCCGTTTCGCAAGTAGATAAAATGTGACATGTTGCCATTTATGTCAATATGTTGCGGTTCGTTGTTGGCAGGCCAGATTTAGGAAGAAATGTTGAAGTTACAGCAAACGCAATTTGGTATATAGAATACATAATAACTGGTGTCAGATATATAGACTATATATCATATTAATACCTAGAGAAAAAAAATAAGATTTTTGTGATGAGCTTAACTTTATTGGCGGGTGGGGATCATCATTACTTTTGCTTTTTGTTCCAGATATTGCAAATCCACAAGAATATAATTTTGCAATAAGAGATTTGATCCTCTTACTCATAAGCTGCTACTTCTGACCCGAGGGATTCTTCCTGCTAGCTGCATAGTGCTCGCTAATTTGTGCTGCTCCTTTTGGTATTTTGCAGCGAGCAGCGGCAGCTGAGGATGGCCCGGCAGCATCTTGGCAAACCCCTTGTGCCATCCTTCCAACGCATTATTTGTACGGGGCAGATCATCCTTTACTCGTTGATACAAGTCTGATATGGAAATTTCCCAGGAATTTCCATGTCACTATGAATCTGCTGGCCAACATAGCTTTCTTGGAAACATTTCGCGAACTCCAGAAGCTCATCCTCCTTGGAAATTTCGTCGGCAAGGAGTATCCTCATGTAATGGTGGACGTCGTCCAGCGGAACAAATGCCAGAACCAGGAACCTCCTGACCCGGATGGCGAAGGCAACAGCAGCATCTGAGACCAAGATTCTGGATGAGTCTCCAGACAGTGGCCCAAGTGGAAACAGCATCCAGCTGCCTTCACAAAATCTGTCGCCATTGTCCCTCCATTGCCCCTCCATTGCATGATAAGCCAGGGGAAATAAGCTGTAACACCTCGTACATTTTATTATTTAGGTCTTCAGTCTTTCCTGGCAACAATGCATAGACGCACGGATATGTTATACCACCAAAGTATGCATGGAGTGTGTACTGCCGCTTGTAGCTTGTAGGGGCCACTTTAATCGTTCCATCACCAAACCAATGACGAAACTCGGCAAGAAATTTCAAATCGGTCTGCTGCGGAGATCATCTTCCCATAATCTTCATAACGAAGGAAGGACTCTTCGCTTAAGGTGATCCGAAATGGCTGAAGATCAGACACGGCATCTGCCGTTGGTATTAAATGAGCCCAGCCGATTTCAACTCTAGTGTAAAATGTGTTTAGAATATGTGCGATGGGCTCTTCTGTTGCGGCAGCACGTTCCCTCTTGGCTGCCAGTATCTCCACCTCAGCCTTCCCACTTTACTCTCCCCATTAGCGGTGTGAACCCTGGCACCACAGGTTCTGTCTTCGCATCTCCACGCCTCCTAGTCGTGATAGTCCCTTTCCTTCGTAAAGAGATGCTAGCTAACTCGTGTTTCACAGTCACCGGTATGACGGTATAATGCGACAGGCCTCGGGGACGTTAACTAGAGCAGGTGGAGGAGGGTAATCATCACTCAGCCCTTCGTGCAATGAAACCTCGAGCTCGGGGCAGGGTGGTAATGGAAGCTCCGTTGAGTTCTCCATGCTGAAGGATACCCCACTCCTTGAATATTCCTAAATATTGCAAGATAACAAGACATGAGACACACGGTTGAAAGGAACGCTGAAACAAAGGTCGTCTGTTCGCAGAGTAGAAGCAGAAGCGGAAGTTAGAGCAATTAGGGCAGGTAAGGTCAGCGGACGACCAGGTTATGTGAGGGTACAGGACTGCCTGTATGTACCCTGTATGTACCCTGTATGTACCCTGTATGTACCCACCGTGCACCGGAATTCGTTTTTTCAATGTATAATTTTGATTCAATGTTAGCAGTGTATAGTTTTGAGGGGGATAAGTCCCACTATGGTCGGTCTGGGTACACTTGCATTTATTGTTGTGTGTGTATTTAATTTGATTATGTATGTATGTATGCTTGTAGCGACTGTGTCGATGTATGTATGTTTGTAATGACTGTGTATTTGTACGTATGTATGTATGACTCTCTAACTTTGTATGCATGTATGTATGTAGGTGTTTATGACTTAGGGTATGTGTGTATTGCCATTGTATGTATATATGATTGGCACCTTTTTTGTATGCAAAAGTGTGTGTGTGTGAATGATTGTATGGATGTGCGCTTTTGTGTGTGTATACATACGTGTGTGCTTTTATAGGTATATGTATATATGTATATATGTGTGTGTATATATGTATATATGCATATGTGTATGTGTATATATGCATATGTGTATGTACATACACACACATACATATATACACATATATACACACATACATGTACACATACACATATATACACATATACATATACACATATACACATATATATACACATATATACACACACATATACACACATACATATACACATATATACACATATATATACACATATATATACACATATATACACACATATATACACACATATATACACATATATACACACATACATACACACATACATACACACATATATACACACACACATATACACATATATACACACATACATATACACATACATATACACATATATACACACATACATATACACATATATACACATATACACATACACATATATACACATATACATATACACATATACACATACACATATATACACATACACATATATACACATATACATGTACACATATACACATATACATATATACATATACACATATACATATACATATACACATATACATATACACATATACACACATACATATACACATATACACACATACATATACACATATACACACATACATATACACATATACACATATACACACATACATATACACATATACACATATACACACATACATATACACATATACACACATACATATACACTATATACACACATACATATACACATATACACACATACATATACACATATACACACATACATATACACATATACACACATACATATACACATATACACACATACATATACACATATACACACATACATATACACATATACACACATACATATACACATATACACACATACATATACACATATACACACATACATATACACATATACACACATACATATACACATATACACACATACATATACACATATACACACATACATATACACATATACACACATACATATACACATATTAAAACACACATACATATACACATATACACACATACATATACACATATACACACATACATATACACATATATACACATACAGATAACACATATATCACACATACATATACCCATATACACACATACATATACACATATATACACACTATATATACACACATATATACACACATATATACACATACATATACACATATATACACACATACATATACACATATATACACACATACATATACACATATATACACACATACATATACACATATATACACACATACATATACACATATATACACACACATATACACACACATATACACACATATACACATACATATACACATACATATACACATATATACACATATATACACATATATACACACATACATATACACATATATACACACATATATACACACATACATACACACATATATACACATACATATACACATATATACACACATACATATACACATATATACACACATACATATACACATATATACACACATACATATACACATATATACACACATACATATACACATATATACACACATACATATACACATATATACACACATACATATACACATATATACACACATACATATACACATATATACACACATACATACACACACATATACACACATACATATACACATATACATATACACATATACACAATACACACATACATAGACACATATACACACAACATATACACATATACACCACATACATATACACACATACAGATACACATATACACATATACACAACATACATATACACACAGACATATACACATATACAGATACACATATACACATATACACACATACAATACACATATACACATATACACACAACATATACACATATACACCACATACATATACACAGATACACACATACATAGACACATATATACACATATACATATTACACATATATACACACATTACATATACACATATACACCATACATATACACATACATATATACATATACATACACATATACACACATACATATACACCATATACATATACATACACATATACATATACACATACATACACACATATATACACATATATACACACATATATACACATATACACATATATACACATATACATATACACATACATATACACATATACACATATATACACATATACATATACACATATATACACATATACATATACACATATATACACATATACATATACACATATACATATACACATATACATATACACATATACATATACACATATACATATACACATATACATATACATATACACATATACATATACATATACACATATACATATACACATATACATATACATATACATATACACATATACATATATACATATACACATATACATATATACATATACACATATACATATATACATATACACATACATATATACATATACACATATACATATACATATACACATACATATATACATATACATATATACATATACATATACACATATACATATACACATATACATATACATATACACATATACATATACACATATACATATACACATATACATATACATATACACATATACACATATACATATACACATATACATATACACATATACATATACACACATACACACATACACACATACATATACACACATACACACATACATATACACCTATACACACATACATATGCACACATACATATGCACACATACAGATGCACACATATACAGTGTATGTGTATATGTGTATATGTGTATGTGTGTGTGTGTATATGTGTATGTGTTTATGTATGTATTGATTCTGTGTGAGGGGTATGGGCTGTGTATGCATGGTTATGTTGAGAGGTATGTATAAATGTCTGTGCTGTGTGTTTATACATTATGCATATTTATGATCTCTGTGTGGTAAGAATGGCCGGAAGTATGTACAGAGCTAGAGGGCTCTTTATGAAGGCGATTAAAGAATACACGGGTAATTTTTCCTTTTTCACAGCTAAAGGTCGTACATGAATGGATTTAAAGTACAAAAAATCCCACCACTTTGTATGTTCATTTATTTAGCTGTGTGAATATACGTGTATGTATCATTGTGATTCGTACAATTATTAATTGCATGCATGTACCTAAATAATCATGCTGAGTGAGCCATGTTTATCAGATTATATATATATACACGTATGAATGTGTATATCGGCATATGTACATGTTTATGGTTGATAGTTGCACATAGCTAAATTTAGTGTTGCTCTCTTTTCAGATCCACATGTGCGAATAGTAGGAAACCCAGAGTCCGTACGAGTGGCAGGTGCCATGGTGCGGCAAGAACTCGAGCCTCATAATAAGGTTACGATGAAGATGGATGTGTCCTGGACTCACCACTCTCATATCATAGGAAAAGGAGGCAACACGATACAGCCAGTTGTAAAGAGAACAGGTATAGTTTACCGAGTATGGAATGTCTTCGATATGTAGAAAGTATTGAGGTTTATGTTCATAGACATGCACCTTATACTGTTAGAATAAAAAGATAAAAATAAAATAAATAAATAAATAAATAAATAAAATAGAATAAACACACCCCAATTCTGCAACATCAGAGTTACTGTACATAATGCTTATATACCATCTCATGACGACAATAATCCAAAAGTCAAGTATAGAAAATATTAAAAATCTTTCATTCTTTCACATCTTTTTTCAGTGTTTACATAAATCTAATTATGTATATACATATGTACGTACATGCAGATGTGCTTACTTACATCCATACATACATGTATGTACATACATATACATGCATATGCATACATTTATATATACATACATATACATGCATATGCATACATTTATATATACATACATATACATGCATATGCATACATTTATATATACATACATATACATGCATATGCATACATTTATATATACATACATATACATGCATATGCATACATTTATATATACATACATATACATGCATATGCATACATTTATATATACATACATATACATGCATATGCATACATTTATATATACATATATACATGCATGCATACATTTATATATACATACATATACATGCATATGCATACATTTATATATACATACATATACATGCATATGCATACATTTATATATACATACATATACATGCATATGCATACATTTATATATACATACATATACATGCATATGCATACATTTATATATACATACATATACATGCATATGCATACATACATATATACATATACATGCATATGCATATGCATACATACATATATACATATACATATACATGCATATGCATACATACATATATACATATACATATACATGCATATGCATACATACATATATACATATACATATACATGCATATGCATACATACATATATACATATACATATACATGCATATGCATACATACATATATACATATACATATACATGTATATGCATACATATTATATATATATATATACACACATATACATGCATATATGCATATACATGCATACATACATATACATGCATACATACATATATACATATATGCATATACATGCATACATACATATATACATATACATATACATGCATATGCATACATATATACATATACATGCATATGCATACATATATATATATATATATATATATATATATATATATATATATATATATATACACACACACACATATACATGCATATGCATACATATATATATATATATGCATATACATGCATATTGCATATATACATATTTGCATATACATGCATATTGCATATATACATATATGCATATACATGCATATTGCATATATACATATATGCATATACATGCATATTGCATATATACATATATGCATATACATGCATATACATACATGAAAGATGGAATAATGCAATGGCACATTGATATAGATACATATCAATCCTCCCTGACCTGGCCTAGAATCTAGGTCACTCCGGGTATGAGACCGGAGGGCCAGTACTAAACCAACCATGCCACGCAACCCACTAAAAGGTGTGTGCAACTAGGATCTAACTAGCTCCATACACATTACCTTTATTCCATCTTTCATATATACCTCAGGATATCTGAATTCGGTTTGAATTTCTAAATCAAATTCCACCGAGTGCCCACGGGGAGGGTGTGTAAAACCTATCATTACGCTATCATTACTCATGTATGAGTAGATAGGTAATGTCTAGTTAGATCCTAGTTGCACACTCCTTTTAGTGAGCCGTGTGGCATGGTTGGTTTAGTACTGGCCCTCCGGTTTCATACCCAGAGTGTAACTTGAATGAATATTGTATGTAATTTGCTTCTGTGATATTTTTCATACATCATTATTAGGTGTGGTTATAATGCACATAAATTAAATTTCATTTAGGAAATTTGATAACTTTTCCCCAACAGGTGTGAGCATTCATTTTCCTGACGGTAATAAAAACAGTGAAGTGCGCAAGAGTAATCAGGTGTCGATCAACAGTCGGGGTGAAGAGCTAGCCGGCTTGGAAGACGCACGCGGCGCTATTCGAGAGCTGACTCCTCTCGTCTTCTCCTTCTCCCTTTCCGCAAATGCTCAGTTTGTTAATATATCCGACCCTAACATGCTGATCTTCCATGTGCAGAATACGTATAATGTTCAGGTATGGCATGGTCTGAGCATGTTTTTTTTTATTACAGTTGTTGAATGAC